TTTGTTTGTTTTTTGTTTGTTTGTTTTTTGTTTGTTTGTTTGTTTGTTTTTTGTTTGTTTGTTTGTTATGTAATGACCACCAAAATGGTTTCTGAACTCGTACTGGAAATTGTGCAATTATAAACTATTTGATTTTAAGGACTATTGATCGTATTCCCACATTTTCTCCGGGTCCTGCAGTTTTCCTTCCCCCAACAAAAGCATGTCAACACTTTCAGTTAGAGCTCAACTATAACTTGAGCGCATAACATAATAAAAGCCTGTTGCTGATATGCGATCATGAATATAGATGTTGAGGTTATATTTACGAAAGGAATACAAATTAAGAACAAATTAGACACTTATATGAAGGGATAACACATATTGTTCTAGAATAATATCCCCAAAGGCTTCCATTTGAAGACAATAAGTCCTTTATATAACTCATATAGCAACACGGTTAGTTCTATTCTAATCTCATTATTYTTTAAAACCACGTGTCTATAATAACGACCAAGAAACGCAACTCAAAATAAGACGTTTTTACTTTCTATATTTTTATTGCGCAGCAATTGTTGTACGTTTTGATCCATTTTTGGCTCATCTTAGCGCTAGACTTTTAATTTATCCTATCAATATTCCTTTGATGTAGGCCCATCCATTATTACAACCATGCAACTAGGCAGTCAACGTTTTTTCACACCACATGATTCTATACTTTTCGTCTTGGGCTTTAGACTCCTATAGTAATTGACAAATGAGAGTAGAATATATGTTGTAATGTCTTAATTTTGACTTGTTTTTAATCTCATAGATAAAAAACGAACATGGGAAAAGAGTCGGTCATGTTAGACACGAGTTGTTCCCTGGTCAACAAGAATGATTGCATGCAATTTTAAATTTGAATTATGTATTTTCTGCTGAAACGTATTCACTGTCAATGCCACTAGGAAAGTATCCAAACTCCAAAGTATATCAGTGGAGCACAAGGGTGACTTTTCAATGATCATTCAGCAAAAATTGATAATTTAAAGCTTATGACTGAGCTCGAGACCTCGATAATTTACCGTTTACTAAAGTGACCCGTTTTCCTTTAAGTTTGCGACTCATAACTATTGAATATATAAGTAGTCCTGAACGCGTTAGTAGCATTTCCTTCCTTCGTCTTTCTAACGCTAGGATATCTTAATTTTCGCTAAGCTCTATTTTTTCTTGTTCCGTATAGAAACATTATAAGGCCTCGTCCACACTATGCCKGATAAATTTGAATCCGAATTTTTATTTATTCGGTTAGGCCTACCGTCCACACTACCGTCCGCTCTATTTTTCTTGTTCTGTATAGTGACACCATAACACCATCTTTATAGCGCAAGAATATAATAATTTTCGCTAAGCTCTATTTTTCTTGTTTTGTATTGTAAAACCAATAAAATACGTTAAAAAATATATATCTAACTATTATCGCAAAATGCCATTTCATGCATGATTTGCCATCAATCAGTTCTTTGTACTATTGGAGGGAGGCCGAGGCTGGAGCTTCAGATGGGAGAGTCATCAGTCAAAAAAAATAAAACATTTGTGTAGAGTCCATAGCTTTTTATTTTGACAAAAGCAGTTTCCTCGTTGAAGTAATAGGGACACGAATTTCTTGCCGAGAAAGTGGCAGGGCTACAATCATTTTTTAAAGGGAGACTAGCACGAAAATCTTCCGAAATTTAATTCGGCTGAAACTTCAATGGAATAATCTTTAAGGGTTTAATAATCACTGGTTAAAGTTTTTTTCTTTATATTCCAATGGGAAGTATTATATTTTTACGAATTTCTATAGGTGTCTGTGAAGTCATACACTCAACACTTAACATTGCTCCATACATTTCTTTGTAAATAACTTCATGTTTTACTTTAATTCTATTAAGCCCAGCAAAGGTCCGCTTAGGGACTTAACATACATAACTTGTGGTTAGAATCATTTTATGGTATCTTTTCTCCAATGCTGTTATAAAACTAGAAGATATTTTGATTACAAAATACAAAGAAATGTATGGAGCGATGTTTAGTGATGAGTGTATGACGTCACATACTCCTATAAACATTTGCAAAAATATAATACTTCCCATCCGAATGTCAGGGRAAAAAATTAACCAGTGATTATTAGACCTTTAAGGGTTATTCCAGTAAAGTTTCAGCTGAATTAAAATTTGGATGATTTACGCGCTAGTCCCCTTTAAACGTTTTCTTCGAATCCTATATCCCCTAAGCAACAAACAGTTGGAAACCTCAGAATTCCAATTAGGTCCGTTAGTAATAACTCGCCCCATGGGTCCTATAGCGTGCACGTGGAAACGACTCGGTAGAGTTCAAAGTAACTTTGAATATGTCGAACAACAAAGGAATTTACATACGATTTGAAAAAGAAGGATAGAAAATAATTGTATGTAAGTATTAGACTGAACATGATCCGGTTTAATAAATAGACATGAAAGAAGACCATAACATTACTACTAATGCGTGTATTAGTCTAACATCGATACAACACGGGTTTAATGACTTTAACAATTCAAATTGCTTGCGTGCATTCGGCTGGAAAAAGGGGGAGGTGCCAAGAACAATGATTCAACTATATAATGGATGGCAGTTACAAGCTAAAACACTCAAGCATCAGACGAGAAGACGAATCGAACAGAATTCAAGAAGCCCAAAGAACGACTTTAAGGTAAGTTCTTGTTATTTTGTAATTTTTTCTTGGAAAGCTTACTCACAGGGATTTGGTTCACTTAAAAATTGGGGAATATGAATGAAGGTTAGGGTGGCAGTACTTCACTCGCCGGCGCTAATGTACATTAGATCATGATACTCGCTCGGTTCTATTCCTGTACTTGGTATCTCACAAGAGTAGAGTTTCAACACAGCATATCTCTTTTACCCTCGCTTTTAATTCCTGTAGGTTTAATATGCAGTTCTTCAACTTTATTTAGCACAAGCTTCGTTTCCGCGGTCAAAACAAAAAGTTGTACGTTTATGGGTTCTGTTCATACGGGACGACTGAGCTATCTGAACAAAAACTACTCGTACGCCTGCATAGTCGGGCAAATTTGGAACCGGCCCGTGTAAATAGAACGTATTTTTTTAGAATTAAAAAGACGGTTGGTGTAAACGGTTTGTACAAGATAAAAAATTCCGTTAAAAGTTCGTCCGGTACCATGTTAAAGCGCCATAGTTATTACTTGTTTATACACAAAACAAAAATTCCTAAATTCCATACCGAGTTTGCCTAGCCTTGCCAAACTAGAGGTTGTTCTGGAGGATTTGATAAAATTCGACCGCAATTAATTTTATTTAATCAATTTTTCTTGGACTAAAATATTTCGTAGACTCGTATATTTGACCATACACACAACTTCGAAATCAAGCCCAATAATTTTAGCTGCTATTCTTTGATTGCACGTTTTGATCGCGGCTATGGCATCCATTGCTAACGGCACCTCAATGTTGGCCGCCATGTTTTTTTTTTTCTTTTGACTCTCTAGTGAATGCTTGCAATATGTTTATATTTGGCATAAGTTAAAGTGCATGTCGTGTACTGAGTTAATCATCAATGGCTTTGTATCATCAAAAAGCGCGCAAACTACGGTTTTCAGTTTCAAAGCGCGCGTTCTTAAGTTTAAATTAGAATGAATTTAGCATAATCATTTTGAGCGCGAATTATAACGATACAATCTGTTTGGGCGGGTAAAGGATTAATATTAGTCAAAAATAATCAAAAATAAGGCTCATTACGTTGACGTTTCTTAGTGTCTGCTATTTTCATCTCATTTGATGGAGTCTAAATTCATACCACGAAACGTTTTTTTCCAGAATTTTTATCAAACAAGATTCGCATCTCTGTAAATATTCCCCGATACTCAATGAGCCTGAGGCGAATAATTGTTAAATAATATATTCATATATTAATATCATTTTACACAGCTCAATGGGAGAGCACTGTAGTAATTTTTAGTGATTCAAATTCGTGTTTAAGTCAGTAAAGTCTATCTCTCTACTATCATTACTTTRTGAAACTTATGCTACACTCATGGGCGCGCAATTTGCATTTGTTCTTGCCGGACGTGAGAAGGGTTTAAGCGTTTTCTTACTGGACTTGTGAATAAACTCAAGTACGTTAAGGCCTGGGTTGAAGGACATCTATAGCTAGAACCATTTTATTATTCTTTAGTCATTTCTTTCTGAAACCTCGCCAAAATTGGCATGTACACTTAAGTTTATGAGCTAAAGGATTTAGGAAGAAAATGGTAATGCGGTCACBTGACCTTGATCCTAACTACCATGCATCCGATTTTTGCATTTAAAGTGGGGTGACGTTTAACATCTGTATATAAAACTTTATGGTATATTTTCATTCTTCCTAGTAAGAGGTATATGAATCTGCCCTAACACCTGAACTACGTACCAACGATGAAACGACATAAAATAATCAATCAAACAGAGAGCCGCCGAAACGCACATTCATGTGATTCTGATTTCTGTGCACGCTAATTCGCACGCTACTGATCATTTAGTTTGCTTCGTTTTGTATTTTAGCTCAAGATGATGAAGATTCAGATCGCTGCTGTACTAGTCGGTGTTCTTGCTGTAGTCATGGTAACTGCAAAGGACGAAGGTAAAATAGAGAGCCTACTACTAGACTAGCATCAGCATAACCCTCCCTCCATCCATGCACCCTATGATACAGACTCACTGAGGGGTCTACCACTGACCACATGTCGTTCCCTCCTCTTGTTTAACGGTTGCCCATGAGCTAAGAAGACTTATGAATATAGATATACCACAGCTAAAAATAATATTTTTGTCAAGAGAATGACACTCCGTCTAAAATACCAGGAAGAATAAGGTCTATTGCAAAGAAAGCAGAGAGAAATTGCGGTACTTCTGTTTTCGAGGAATCCTATCGCATAAATGTTTTTTTTTTTTTTCCCTCAGGTTGTGAAGACGCGCGAGACGAAAAATACTGCGACCAATTTAATAAAAATGGCTATTGCCAGCGGTACCAAAACTGGGCCTATGAGAGATGTGCATCTACCTGTGACATATGTGCCGGGCCTAGTAAGTATTCATAATTGAATTCCTTATTATAGCTTTTTCAGAATTGTAGCAATGCGTTGAATTATAGGAGAATTTTCAGGGAGCATTTAACAAAGATTTAGTGACATTTCATGCATCAAAAAACATAATAAATTTTGAAAACTAACACGACAATTAAGGTTTCCTATATATGACTAGCTTTTCACTATACGCAAGCGAAAAAGACGCCATATTGATTAGCTACAACTAAGACAGCCCCCCTGATGCAACGTGTTATGCGAATCTGGAACTCGATAGACTAATAACTCCTGATTATTTAATATTCTTAAAATCGATTCTTTTGGTTAAATTCTTTTGATTGTTTTTTTTTTTTCTGTCAAACGTGGCTCAACTAACGCAAATGAGCCTGTAGTCACAAATCCCAGCGGCATTAGTCCAATGATCGAGAATAGGACTATGCAATATCATATTCATGGGTTGCAAGCATTCCCTAGAGAGTCAAAAGACAATAACATGCCAGCCATTGCGGTGACGTTAACAGTGGATGCTAATGAGAAATCTTTTGTTAAATGGCACAAACATGGCCGCGATGACGTAACGTGCAATCTAAGAATAGAGCAGTTTTCGCATGACTGTGAAAGCTCAGTGTCGTATGCGTGCCGTGACAGTGATGTTTTCTAGAATTTTAATTGGCTGATTTTTTCACGCGCTATGTGATTGGTTTGGCATTGCCGTGACCTTGGCGTGACCGTGTCCGCGCCGTGTTTATGCCGTGTTTCGGGTATTTGATTGGATGGAGAGTAAATTCTCGTCCAATGTGATTGGTCTGGCGTATCCCTTGTCGTGTCATGGCCGTGTTCGTGCCGTGAATTTTTCACAGTCATACGAAAACTGCACTAGTAATGGTATTTATTTGTCTATGCAGAATGTGAAGATAAAGAAGGTGAAGAGTACTGCACATCRAAAAAGATATTTTGCAAGCGTTTTAGCAGCATGAGGGAGAGACTCTGCAGAAAGACTTGTGGTACTTGCACAGGTAATACTGAAAACATGTTTGTGAAGATTTAACTTTTCCCCCTTTAGTTTAGTATGTCAGCTGTGTCAGTGTCTGTGAGTCAGTGTCTTTTTGTTTGCTTGCTTAAATTTAATTTGTATATTGCTTACTATCAATCACGTGACTTTTTGGAGTTGACTGGGGGGCAAACAAGCGGTTGACTGGGGGGCAACTAGCGGATACTAAGTCAAAACATATCAAAATAAGTCCTCAAACTATTGTATTTGACTATTTTCACGACATCAAATCAGAAAACAAGAAATCAAAACAACTTCCAGGATTCTACAAGCTATCAAAAAAGAGCTATTACCGGAAGTGACGTCTATTGATAGCAACCTATTTTTCATGAACTAACCAATCGTACAATGGAAACCTCATTTTTTCAGTCAAAGGATAGACCATGGTATCTACTTATATACAGACGGATTCACGATATCTCTTCGTACCTCCTGAAGAAAGACTCGAAGTGAAAAAGACTGTACCATATGTACCTTTGAAGTGCGTTAATTAAGGAAAGTTCATTTAATATGCCGAGGGGGAAGGGGATGAAGACTTCTCCTCGAAAACTCCTTTTACAGGACGCCCTTTAGGACTGAACTAAATTTCCGAAGCCTCTTCAAATAAACAACCCATGAAAATGTCCAAATTCAAATTAAAAGCCCCATCCAGTATATGCATGATCCAAAATATTCCGTTACCCACCCCACTTGGCATATTTTAAAAATGAGCTTTCCGTTAAGTTCTTTTCATTTCCGCGTGAATTTTAATAACTAACCGGCCATAGACTAGCTATACCATTGATACAATATATTATAGTCATGAAACCTGTGTGATTATTCAATAAATAAAAATCGTAAGCAATACATGACTCTCTCGTTATCTCTAGTAAGTAGTGTGCATTTACTAACTTAACAAAGATGATTAATAAGATGATACTAAGATTTTTAGTCTTACAGTGCGCATATACAACTATCTTTCTCCCTAGTACAGATGTAAGGAGGGAAGGAGTGGTATGGGTGGTTCAGTAATAGAGATGTGCCCTGGGATCTGGGAACCTTATCTGATCTACCTCGTTCAAGACCCGGGGGGGAGGGGGGAACTCCCATATATGGACTATACGGGGATGATCCGCTGAACATTAACAGGGTATGGTTTTTCGAGCTTCTTGTCATAAACAGGGTATGCAATTTCACTAAAGTTCCAAATTTTTTCCTGAGTTTCTTGTCATATTCARGGTTTCTACTTTCGTATTGACCGAAACTGGTTATTATGGTCGTAAAAAACGATACGCAAGATGACATGATAATTGAAACAGGAACTCAGTGCAATTAATTATATCTTTTGTCATAAACAGGGTCTACGAATTTGAGTTTTTTTGTCATAAACAGGGTACCCCTTTCAGAATCCCAGCGGAACACCCCTACCCAAAACCCGGGGGGGCCCCCCCCCCCCCCCCCACGGGGTTCAAGACAACACTGTAAATTATAAACCCTATCTAAGAATACAATGAAGCAGTGTTGATGTTGTTCTTTAAAGCGCGCTGCACACTTGAAGTTGAGTGCTGAAAATTGCTTAGCGTCAAAGGAAAAAAAACGGTTTCGACAAAAATCAAAATTGAATATCCTATCTAAGACTTGAAAATGCTAGATAGCGCTGACCCCAAAACAGTGTTTTTACAAAGAGAACGCATAGATATGAGTCGAAAACTGGTTCCCCAAATATATAAAACCGAGCTAGCCGAGCGACAATAGAAATATCACGGTATAGAGCAAGGAATACGATGATTGAACGACCTGATAACGGCAAATAAACAGCAAACTAAACAAAAAAATGCATACCTCGATTGTTTGAACTGTTGTCGGCAGTTTGGAAAGAAGTCTAGGTTTCTGGAGCTTTGTTCACAAACGAATTCTTCAGTTTTTTGCTGTCTGAAGGCCACACCGGTTGACTATGCAAATAAAGCTAGGTTCACTCGCTTGAATAGGAAATGAACGACCCGTGGGTATTTGAGGTGCACGTGCTTTTCACTAACTGTCATACACCAAAAAGCGTGGATATTCAGCTTTATAGGGGAAGACCATATATCCGTGAAACAATTTTACATACTAGAGTGCAAACAATTAATCCGTGAAACACTAATTACTAAATAGTACAAAATAATGCTAATTAAGCAATAGAAAACAATGGAATTTTCATGAAATTGTTCTATTTAGTATTACTAAAGTTTCAAGGTTATATTGTTTGCTTAAAATTATTTAATTATCGACTATTTTCTCATAAAATAGCTAAGAATTATATGTCGAGCATTAACCAAAGAAAGACGCCGGGTTAGGTATTTCTTTATGTTCTTCTACAGTAATATTCTCTATTTTTACAAAATATCAGCAATGTAACTGCATATCATAAAATAAATCTTTGGTTTTGTTTCACGGATATATGGCGTGGACTGGAGTGCATACCAAATATTCGTGTAAAAATGTACAAGAGCTAAGTTTTGTAGCTCTACGATAGTTTACTGAGCTTACTAATTTGTGCAAATTTGTGCAATTTCTTTCAAAGTTTTTTACGGATTTATGCTAAACGGCTCTAATAGTTTATCACTAATCCTACACTCTGATTGATCCGCCTGCTAGTGGTCTCAGTTTTAGTGATAGACCAGTATTAGCGAGAAATGCAGGTATTGAAAACAAAAGCAATGCAAAAATAGACTAATTTAAACACCAATTTTATGGGGAATTCCGGCCATGATTCTGCTATAGAAGTCTAATTATTTTAGAATAAACCTACCCATCGATCAAATAAATGGAATCGATGCAAACAAGTTTGAAATTAGGTTTAAATAAGAAAGAAAAAAAAAACATTATCCCGCCATTAGTTTCTTGAAACATGATAAATTGTAATTGTAATTGGGGAAAACCTGTAATAGATTCCTAGCCTCTCTTATTTGATCTCTTATTATTCAGCGATACGTTTTATAGTCTCCTTTCTTTAACCCACTAGCTATTGATAAGCTAAGAGTTAGCTATAAGTAAAATAAAATAAAGTCACATGGTTGTGTACAAAAAGGTTATTTCCTGCAGTTACAGAGCATCTTTTTAATAGCAACCCTAAATTCTCTTCCTCTGACACAGTAAATCCATGGATTGAAAGCTGAATGAAGAAACGATACGGAAGCAGCCCACAGCCAGACGAGGTTCAATTCGTATGCACGACATTGATCCTTCGCCACTAACAGCATAGCAAACACTACCATCCCAGGAAAAAACAGCAAGAAAAATATACTTGAAACTATTAAAGCTGTAAAGGTAGCTTTCTTATTTGACGCCGTCTCGCTTCGTGTCGGTCGCGATGATTCAGGTCCGCTTACAACCGACATTTCACGAATTTGTCTGACTTGCCGCCTTGCAACAGCCGCCATTTTGAAATTGCAAAACAATATAACCACAAATGGTATTCCTACCGTCAGTATAGAACATATGAGCCAAAAGACTTCTCGAGAGTCGAAATCCGTATAGAAAAAGAGTGTAGCAGAGAAAAGGAATGAAAATACCCAAATAAAAACAACAGCAATGAGGCATCGTTGGTTCGTGACGAGTTCGGGGTACCTCAACGGAAAGCTGACGGCAATATATCGATCGATGGTCACGGCACATAGACTGAACGTTGTGGCTGTTAACGTTTGAACCCATAAAAAGTTTTCAATCTTTGTTAGGATGAAGAAAAAGTTTGTCGGAACTTGATCATCTTCGTAGTTGTGTACAAAAGGTATTAGAGTATAGATAGGGTTCATTGTGAAAGCAACAAGCAAGTCTGCAGATGACAGCGATGCTAAGAAATACATGGAAATCTTCCTCAAAGAACGTGTCTTGTAAATTGCAAGAAGGACGAGGATATTGCCCCCGGATGCTAGGACATAGCAGCAACAGTTTAAGCATATCAGAGCAATCTGTGAAGATCTTGACAATTTTCCATTTGGACAAAACAGATCATGGAAACCTGTTGTAGTTGACGGTGGAACAGATGTAGTTTGGCTGGATGGGTATTCCATTTGGCTATAAGGAGTAGTGTTTCAGCTGCAGAAACCTTCAAAGAAAAAAAGGAAACAGATTGTTTCAAGATCCCTGGGAGCAGTGCAGATTTTGGATAAAAGAGAATCGGAGGGCACTGAACAGGATAGAAGAATAGGAAGAAAACACTAAGGCCAAGTCCGCACTAATGCGTTTTCGAATTTGCCCTCAACAGCGAATTTACGCTCCGAAATGGGTTATCAAAGTGGATGCGTTTTCGATAGCTTAAGTAGTCATCAAATATTCAATCTGGTTATTGGAAATCATTAAAACTTCATTTATCCATTAATAATTATTATTACATACCATTTCATCACCCATGCAAGCAAAAATTAAGCACTTTTAAATTGCGGGGAAAAAATTAAAAATCATCTGTTTGGCAGTTCAACATTACCTACCATTTTGCGAGAGACGGTTTGATAAACAACCTTTTAAAATTAAACTCAAAACACTTCATTATAACTAATCTCTGTGTTCAATAAATAATATTTCAAAGCCGACAATGAGGACAGGACGGGATTTCATTAATTATTCGAGAGGTTATTTGTTTAGGATTGAAAGACTTAAGAGACAGATATGTCCCTGAACTGAATTATTTTTGATCCCGTCCAAGGACTTGAACAAAAAATTAATTCAGTCCTTTCACAGGACTTTGCCAGGTTTCAAGTAACATCATGTGACCCAAAAAATAGCCCATTGATAGGCTGGTTTCCTCATGAATTACTAATGAGTATGAGATGTATATATAATGTGCCAGTAATTGTAATGTTTGTTTTGTCGCGGCTGTTTAAATATGCGAACAGCGGTACTTTGATCATCAATGGACTAAATGTATACAGAGCTTCGAATTACAATGYGAAACTTTTTGAAGAACGAACTGATTTATGTATTTTTTCGTGAAATATTCCTTTAGTCGACCCTAAAAACGCTGTTTTTTATCTTTTATTCACAATTCATATAAATTTAAAATATGTGTATATATATATATGATAGTTGTTTCCTGTGTTTTGMCAAAAAATATCGTACAAATATCCTGTACTATATCAGTGACACACAAGGAGTACATACGGAGCTTCGAATTACAATGCGAAACTTTTTGAAGAACGAACTGAATTATGTATTTTTYCGTGAAATATTCCTTAGTCGACCCTTAATAAACGCTGTTTTTTATCTTTCGTTCACATGTACAATTCATATAAATTTAAAATATGTGTATTTATATGAAAGTAATATCCTGTGCTATCAGTGAAACACAAGGAGTTCTCTTTCAACATTTTAAAAGATTCAAATTTTATCATACTAAAGTTTCCACAAACTATTCCGTAATATTTCAGCATTCCTACAATATTTTGAACTATTRATTTCCATATAAATCTTACTGAAAACTCCAACGTGTCTAGAAAAATACGTTCGATGTTGAGTATCATTAAGTTTGTGTATGAAGTTTCCGGCCCCTTTTCTTGATGCTTATATACATTTCTACAAATACCTTTACTCGTACAGTTTAGTATATATATATATATATTTCAATTGAAAAATCCTTAGAAATCTTTTCAAAATTTCAATATCTATGTAACGAAAAACATGTATGGTAAGGTGTAGCTGACAGAAGTCTTGTCATTTCTTTAAGTAAAAAATGTTTCTATCCTTCCTTCCTTCCTTCCTTCCTTCCTTTCTCTCTTTCTTTCTAAATTTCCATCCATTGGCAATCCTTGCGTATGGAAACTTGATGACAAAACGAACACAATAAAACTTTCTCGGCTGCCAATTCAAAACAAAGTGTGTCTTACGAGAAGTAAACTCGAATGAGCTTTCATAAGAGATGCGGAAAATACGATAATATTCTAGTTACGACCATTTGAAGCAAAAAATTTACCTTGAAATTTTGAAATCGTGCCTTCTAGAATAAAAGTGAAAAAACTTCAAACGAACCAGCTGGCTATCGTCTTGTCTTTAGTTTGATATGCTTGCTGTCTATCTGAAATACAATCCTTAGCATTTTTTTTTTAAGGAAGAACAGTGACACTTCGAATGCATTAACGAACTTAGGTGCACATTATTTGAACGTGTTAATATATTTATCCAAGACACACATTCCATGTGGAACTTTCTTATTAGAGGATTAGTTCAATTAATAATTCATCCTTCAAGTATTATTTAGATCAATCATGAAATTTAAAAAAAAATATGATTCAATTCAAAGTTAGATAGCCCGCTGGCATCGATCTGTAAATCACACAGAGCCATACAGCGAATCAGTAATTACGAACTTTCGCAGGAAACTAGAATTTGGATATCAATGAAAGGACTGAAATTACTCTCAGCGTGTCGTCTTCAAATATCCTCTTCGAATCTCTTTATTATTAAGATTCCATTTGCAGTGTTGCATGGAAGTCATCGAGAAATATATATAATACTAATGCGTTGTAATAAATCATCACCGATTTTTTCAATTAAGGTGGTGGGCCGGTACATACCCCCTCCCACCTCAGCGACCTGTTCAAATGCTCGATACTGGGGATCTATAGTGGCAATTTCAATGCACAAATATGTTTTTAGCATACATGCAGACAAACAGCCCTTTCATTTCTGTGATTTGGCTTTTAGTTTTGGAGATATTTGGGGACAAAATCTAAGTTTTCACTTCCAGAGGTGGTGGGTACCGGGTAACACTACCCCTCCCCCCTAAATCTGTTCTCGTGAGATGACAATTGTTTTGCCCTCATCCCTAAGCTGGATACAAATTTCAAGAGCATACTTGAAGGTTCTTTCTATCTTTCTTTCCTTCCTTCTTTCTTTCTTTCTTTCTTTCTTTC